AGATGTTTCTGAATTGAAGCCCTTTAGAATACAGATGGGAGATTGCTACAAAAGGTCTCAGCAAAGATTATACCAGCATGAGTTCTAGCTTTGTTTCTCTCAGCCACATTCATTTTCTGCATGCAAAGTTTTAGATGTTCTGTGAGGAAAATTACCATCACGTGACTGACCCACCTGTACTGTGAAGTGGGGCCGGAACAGGAATCATATTGTCTGATGCTGTGAAAATCATGTGCTTTCCTTAGAGCGCTAAAGGAACAGAGGTTCTGTCTAAAAAATATGCAAAACCAAAGGTCACATAATACCTTTTATTGTGTGCGCGCGTAAAGTGCTGTCAAGTTGCAGCTGACTTACAGAGACCCCAGCAAGGGGCTTTCAGGGGAAGTGAGAAGAAGAAGCGAAGAAGAAATTGGATTTATACCCAACCCTTCACTACCTGAAGGAGTCTCAGAGCAGTTTACAATTTTCTTTCCCTTCCTCTCCTCACAACAGACACCCTGTGAGGCAGGTGGGGCTGAGAGAGCTCTGAGAGAACTGCTTGTGAGAGAAGAGGTCTGAAAAAACTTATGACTGACCCAAGGTACCCAGCTGGCTGCATGTGGAGGAGTGGGGAATCAAACCCGGTTCTCCCAGATTAGAGTCTGCGCTCCTAACCACTACACCAAACTGAAGAGGAGGTGGCTGGCCATAGCCTTCCTCTGCAGAGTCTTCCTTTGTGGTCTCCCATCCAAGTACCAACCCTGCTTAGCTTCCGAGATCTGATACGATCAGACAACACCATGCTGCCTTTCCTCCCAGGATCTTTTATTTGGACAAACCAAAATATCACAAAAAAGGGCGCAGGCTTTCAAGTCCTCTGTAATATTCAAACAGAATGTTTTAAAAAAAACCACACAGGTGGGAAGAAAAAATAGATTTCAGACCACAATGTTAAAGCCTTTGATTTGCAACTTGGGCAAGATGTGTTGCAACAGGTACAGAACTGACTAGAAACAAAGAGAAAAGGTGGTGTGGAGCAAAGCTGTGGCACGTTGCACCTAAGCCTTCTGGGAAGAAGAAGAAGGGGAGGCATTCTTCATGTGAGGACATGAAAGCCAGTGCTTAGTCAGACCTTTCTACTTGCCTCACTTTGCTTGCAGCAGATGAAATACTCAGGACCTTTAAAAGGCTGGGAGTGCAAGGCAGAACAAGGTAGTTGTGTGACATTAGCAAAACTGGAAATTAATTTAGAACATGCGCCAGGGAAAGACTTAATGGAAGCCAAATTGAGGAATATTTTCTAGCAGCTGGAAGTCAAGAGAGCACCATGAGTGAAGCCTAGGGCTGGAAACGCCAGGTTGGGAAATTCCTGGAGACCATTGCTGTGGGAGGAAGTGGGTGGGGGAATTGCCTCTGAACCTGTGGTTGGCAACGTTCTAGGAACCAGACATCTCTTTTAGGTTCACATGCAATTACCCCTTCCTCCTTCTGCTGCACTTGCACTGCATAAGAACACAAGAGAAGCCAACGTTCGATCAGGCCAGTGGCCCATCCAGTCCAACACTCTGTGTCACACAGTGGCCAGAAATACCAGGTGCCATCAGGAGGTCCAGCAGTGGGGCCAGGACACTGGAAGCCCTCCCACTGTTGCCCCCCCAAGCACTAAGAATACAGAGCATCACTTGCCCCAGACTGAGAGTTCCTATCTATACCTTGTAGCTAATAGCCACTAAAAACATAAGAGTAGCCAATGTTGGATCAGGCCAATGGCCCAGTCCAACACTCTGTCACACAGTGGCCAAAGATACCAGGTGCCATCAGGAGGTCCAGCAGTGGGGCCAGGATGGACCTCTGCTCCATATGTTTATCCAGTTCCCTCTTGAAGCCATCCATGCCTGTAGCCGACACCACCTCCTGTGGCAGCGGCGTTCTCCTCCTCCATTTGTGTGATCTATTCTCTTCTTCTGCTGCACTGATCAGCAGCCCTAGCAACCCTGCATAGACCTGGGGAAAACATAACCCATAGTTAGGCCCTCTGTGTACTGTCAGTATTTAAAAAGGATGGGTATGAAGCTGAGCTATCAGGACTGGGTCTGAGTCCCTCTTAAGTTATCACAAAACAATGTCCGAGCTGTTTGGGGAATATCATGTTTAGCCCTGGCAGATAAGCATTCTTCAACTGGAGAAGGATGAGCTGAAACAGGACTTTGCTAGGGTTGTCAGCCTCCGGGCAGGGCCTGGAGATTTCCTGGAATTACAACTGAACTCCAGACTACAGAGATCAGTTTCCCTGGAGAAAATGGCTGCTTTGGAGGATGTACTCTATGGTATCATACTCCACTGAGGTCCCCCCCTCCAAATCCTGCCCTCCCCCAGGCTCCCCTGGAAGAGATGTCTGGTCAGTGCTCAAGGAATCCCCCAAATTAAAGACCGTAGATATGGGAGGGATTCCTAGAACATTGCCCGTCACTTCCAGGCTCAGAGGCAATTCCATGACCCCACTTTCTCCCACTGCAATGATCAGCTTCGGTGAATAAATTAGTGGATTAGAAGGCAAACACCCACCAGGTTCAGGTAGACGTCAACCCTCAGTCAATGTGGTAAAACATGTATTGCGAATTCTGGATGGAGAACTTAATCCCAGGAATGCTGAGACCTGATTCAGCTTGGAATCGTGATCGGTGGGGAGAGATACCTTCAGCCTTTCCCCCTTGGTATTTGTCCACAGAAGAAGAAGAAGAGGAGGAGGAGGAGGAGATTGGATTTATATCCCACCCTTCACCCGAAGGAGTCTCAGAGCAGTTTACAATCCCTTTCCCTTCCCCTTCCCCTTCCCCTCCCCACAACAGACACCCTGTGAGGTAGGTGGGGCTGAGAGAGCTCTTCCGAGAACTGCTTGTAAGAGAACAGCTCTGAGAGAATGTGTGACTGACCCAAGGTCACACCAGCAGCTGCATGTGTAGGCGTGGGGAATCAAACCCGGTTCTCCCAGATTAGAGTCCGTGCACTTAACCACTACACCAAACTACACCAAGGTGGACACTATGGCATTATACCACACTGAATTTCCTCCTCTCCCCAAACCCTCAGCTCCTCAGGCTCCACCCCCCAAATCCCCAGGTATTTCCCAACCTGGAGCTGGCAACCCTGGTACAGAGGGTGTACTTTAGGGCATTGTCCCCTGCTGAGGTCCCTTCCCTCCCCAAACCCCGCCCTCCCCAGGCTCCACCCCCAAAATCTCCAGGTATTTCCCAACCCAGAGCTGGCAACCCTATGTATTAGTCTTTATAAGGTTCCAGATAGCTCCAGTTAAAGGAATCAGAGGACCAAACTAGATGTAACAGGAAATTCACTTCTAATCAGAGCTACATGCATAAACATATTTATCACAATCATCACTTAGACTCAGGACAAGCAAGCACAACCAACATTGCAATAAATAGATAAAGCTTTTAATGGATTAAGCCAGGGCTCTTTTTGTAGAAAAAGCCCAGCAGGAACTCATTAGCATAATAGGCCACACCTGACAGCAGGAACTCATTCGCATATTAGGCCATACCCTGACAGCACATCTCATTAGCCTATTAGGCCACACCCCATGTTACCAGAAGTGTGGTCATCCAGCCACACCCACCTTTTGCTTCTTATTCTATTTACTTTGTTTATTGGCTTTTTTGTAGCAGGAACTTCTTTGCATGTTAGGTCACACACCCCTAATGTAGCCAATCCTAATGAGTTTCTGCTGTTGGGTGTGGCCTATTATGCTAATGAGTTCCTGCTGGGCGTGGCCAACTCGGGAGCCAGCCGGAACTCCGTTCCTGTGCGTTCCTTCCCAAAAATAGCCATGATTAAGGCAGCAATCCAAAGAACACTTTCCTGGGAGTAACACGTGCTGAATAAAATGGGGGTTACTTCTGAGTAGGACTCCTTAAGCTTGCTTCGACAGTTAGAAAGGAACCATAGCTTAATGGCAGAATGCATGTATTATATAATGTCCCGGGTTCAGTCCCAGGTATCCCCAAAGAAAGAGATAACAGGACCAAACTAGATGTCTAAAATGGAGATGGGAGGGTCTATTTCTTTTAACAAAAACGATACACAAGAAGTAAGGGGAGTTGCTCTCTTGCCTTATCTCGCTGTGCTCTATGGTTTTTGATGTTTTCCTACCAGACTGGGAGAAAAATGCTGAAAGCAACATAATTCAAAAAGGCAATGGATTGGAGGGAGTGGTTCTCTGTGCTGCATAGACCTCTACTGTCTTGGATCCTATGCTATTTTAAAAGGAGCACTAGGGGAAAGGCAGGCAGTTGGCAAGTAGTTATTCCTCCAGGGGTGTACAAGGCAGTAGGTCCCTGTGGTGACCAGGCGCTGGGCAGCAGGAGACACAGAAGCAAGACCTCAGATCTTGGAAGGGAAGCTGGGGGTCCTGACCCTCCCAGGGGGCAATTCCTACAGAGCTAAGGTGGTGGCAGTGGGTTACCGGAGAGAGAGAAAAGCCTCTCCAGGTGTTGAGGAAAACCTTGGAGGACAGGGTGGAACAGGGCCTGCAGGACTGCCCCACCACATCTTGTAAAAGTCTAGCTTGGCCATCAGGCAGTAGGGGTGAGTATAGGAGGATACACCCGTAAAAATCTAGTTTGGCCCTCGGGCAGTAGGGTTAAGAGGTTTATAAACTGATCAGAAAGAAGATGGCGCTTGGCTAGATGATAAACGGGCTGACAAAAGAAGCTTCTTATAATATTCATAAACCCACAAAAACGTCAAACATCCAAACACTATGTTTCATTTCTTGCTGATTTTTCTTGGCCATCAGGCAGTAGGGACGAGTATAGGTGGATACACCCGTAAAAATCTAGTTTGGCCCTCGGGCAGTAGGGTTAAGAGGCTTATAAATTGATCACAAAAGAAGATGGCACTTGGCTAGATGATAAACGGGCTGATAGAAGAAGCTCCTTATAATATTCATAAACCCACAAAAACATCAAACATCCAAGCACTATGTTTCATTTCTTGCTGATTTTTCAAAAGCATTGGATGGTGTTTGGAAGTTCAATTTCAGCAAAGAGTGTCTGGCGGGATCCAGCTTCTGATCCTTCTGATAGCCCGTCGATCTGGTCGGCCATTGATTGTCTCGTGTTTCGCCACCACCCTCGTAGGGTAAGAAGAGCCAGAATGTGCTCCCTTCTGTAAGACGAAAAGAGAATTCTTCATGAACACGAAGAAACAAAATACATATGCAAAATGAGCTGGAAACAACCCACCCTCTGCAAGGATAACAACAAACCTACTGCCAACGTGCCTTGGCAGACATCCTTCCCCAAATTGGTATGGGCCAAAAATAGACAGGACTGGAAACTCCAAGTGTGAACAACGTAGATACAAAATGTAAATAAAATCCAAATGTTCTATAAAACAATTTAATACACTGGCACCCCTGGCATGACGATCAGAGAAGCGGAGAGTGGGCCCAGAGAGTGGAAATTCCTCAATGGAATTCCTGGAGGAATAATTCCAACATACAGGCCCTATGGAACCAAGACAGGTCCTACAGGGCACGGATCTCTTCCGACAGAGTATTCCACCAGGTTGGGGCCACTATCGAAAAGGCCCTGGAGACAAAGCCCTATGAGGAAAGGCTGGGGGACTTGGGAATATTTAGTCTGGAGAAGAGGAAGCTGAGGGGGGACATGATGGCTCTCTTGAAGTATTTGAAGGGCTGTCACTTGGAGGAGGACAGGGAGCTGTTCCTCTTGGCAGCAGAGGAGAGGACTCGCAATCATGGGTTGAAATTAAGGGCTGGAAGGTACCGGCTGGATGTTAGGAAAAACTTTTTGAGAGTAAGTGTTGCTCAACAGTGGAATCAGCTGCCGAGGGAGGTGGTGAGCTCCCCTTCACTGGCAGTCTTTAAGGAGCGGCTGGACAAACCCTTGTCAGGGATGCTCTAAGCTGATCCTGCATTGAGCAGGGGGTTGGACTAGATGGCCTGCAGTACCCCCTTCCAAGCACCACAGAGGGTCGTAATGGGATACTTGAGGGATGACTGCATGTTCTATGTGAGAGGTTTTGAGAAGCTGATGCAGAATGCAGTGTTCGGCCTCTTGGAGGAGGTAGGAACGCATAGGGTTGGATCCGATCACTCCTGTCTGCTGAGCAGCTTCCTATGCGTCTCTTCTGCCAAGTCCTCCTTCAACAGAGAACGACTTCCCTGAATGGGGAATGACTTTTTTCTCCCAATGGAGAAAGACTTTTGTCCAGCAGAGGAAGCCTTTCTTTCTGGAACAAAGTCTTTCTGTGTTGGAGGAAGACTTGGCCGAAGCAAGTCATAGTATCCAACGGAGTGGAAGAGAGTTGTAGGATCCAAGTCCTTTTTTGTCTAGTAACAGTATTGTTATTGGAATATTTAGTTTATTACTACTGTTCTGCCAGGCCTTATCAATGACAGATTCTTCTGTTCGAGGTCACCTGTGCTGTCCGGGTTATCTTCACTGGGCTACACTTCCTGGGCAGGGATACAGTGCAGAGATTGAACCCACAAGCAGCTGGAAGGCAAGGGTGAGAGTGGATGGCTGACATCTGGGCTGGTGTGGCATGGATCAGAGGCTAGAGTGTTGGACTAGGACCTGGGATGACTGGACTCAAATCCCCACTCAACCATGGGAGCCCACCAGGTGACCTTGGGCCCATCACAATCTCTCTGCCTCACCTACCCTCACATGGTGGTTGTTGTGAGAATTCAGTAGAGGAGGAGGGGAAGGATGTGAAAAACTGCTCTGGCTCCCTGATCAGGGAGAAAAGTGGGCTATAAGTGAAAATAATAAAATAAACAAAATAAAATATGGGACCTTTCTACCAACAGTCCCAGTGTTCCCCCCGGTCACAAAAGACACTGGAGCATTTTGTGAAGCATCTTTCTATTGGGTGTAGTAAATAAGAAGCTGGAGACTGACTGGTGATGAAGGTGCATAGAAAGTTTATATAGATATAATGGTGAATATATACACAGAGCTATACAGGCTATCATACAGCATACCATGCCTTAGTTTGAGAGACTAAGTCCCCACCTAGCTTATCAAGCTGATAGCTAATATACTAAACCCAGCCAATCACTAACAAGGTGAATTAATTACCTACTTTAACAATGCCTGATAGAGAACACCTGCTAGTATAACACCTGGATGTAATCACTTAATCACTAGCATGACAGCTAGGACAGTCAAACAGATCAAACTGATCTAGTAACTGCTTGCTACCTCTAGCACCTAGACATATATCACAATACGCCTCCTAGGGAGCAAGAGTTACACCTAATCCTCCTCTGAAGTAATTAAACTGATCAGAGTACATACATTTTGTTAACACGTCAGCAAGGTTACAGTCTGAAGCACATTTAACAATTGCGTAAAACAGATCTGATAATAATGTTATAGATCTGATGTGTAATATCTTTTGGGAGCCAATCTGGCTGACAAGTGATTCACTAGCTTTGCATCCTGCCCTTCTACAGGATGCAACATTTTTAAAAAGTAGCTCTTATGCATATCGATATAAAATAATGAATGGCAACTCACTGGCACAGCCAGATAAGATCAGCCAAAGAAAGAAAGAAAGAAAGAAACAACAACCAAAAATCCAATTAAAAAAACAAACAAAAACAATCGGTGGAAAAATTAAAATCAATAACAACAGTTACTGTTGTAGAAAAGACAATAAGTGGGTTCTAAGTAACCAGTATTTGGATGAGAGCACACCAAGGAATATCAAGGTCGCAATGCAGAGGTGGGCAATGGCAAACCACCTCTGAACTTTTCTTGCCTTGAAAACCCCCCTAGGGCTGTGCCTTGACGGTCCAAAAAAAAAGAAAGAAGAAAAAAAAGTGGTTTCTAGATCAAATCAAGCTTGAACTGGCCCTAGAAACTCACATGACTAAACTGAGGCTATCATACTTTGGTCACATTATGAGAAGACCAGAATCATTGCAAAAGACCATAATGCCAGGGGAAATTGAAGGCAGCAGGAAAAGAGGAAGACCCAACAAGAGATGGATGGACTCAAGTCAAGGGAGCCACGGCCCTCAGTCTGCAAGACCTGAGCGAGGCTAACAGCAGGACATTTTGGAGGTCATTAATTCATCGGACTGCCGTAGTTCAGAAGTGACTTGATGGCACTTAACACACACACACACGACAGACTTCACGTTCCTGGGATCCCAGATCACCGCAGACTGTGACAGCAGCCATGAAATTAAAAGACGCCTGCTCCTTGGGAGGAAAGCGATGGCGAACCTCAACAGCATGATAAAAAGTAGAGACCTCACCCTGCCAACAAAAGTCCGCATGGTCAAAGCAATGGTATTCCCAGTAGTCATGTATGGCTGCGAGAGTTGGACTATAAGGAAGGCCGAGCGCCGAAGAATAGATTCTTTTGAACTATGGTGCTGGAGAAGACTCTTGAGAGTCCCTTGGACTGCAAGAAGATCAAATCAGTCAATCCTAAAAGAAATCAACCCTGACTGTTCCCTGGAAGGCCAGATAATGAAACTGAAGCTCAAATACTTTGGCCACCAAATGAGAAGGGAGCACTCGCTGGAGAAGACCCTGATGCTGGGAAAGATTGAAGGTCAAAGAAGACAGGGACGGCAAAGGATGAGATGGTTAGACAGTGTCATAGATGCAACGAACACGAAGTTGAGCCAACTTCAGAGGACGGCGGAAGACCGGAAGGCCTGGCGTGATCTGGTCCATGGGGTCGCAAAGAGTCGGACTCGACTGGGCGACTGAACAACAATGAAAGACCCAGCTTCAGTAAGGCACAAAAAAACAATGTAATGACAATAAAACTACAAGCCTAGCATTAAAACAACCTGCTGGGATTCTGTTCCCTTCAAAAGCCCTCTGGAAGAGAATGGAGGTTGCTGCCTTCTGGAAGGACATCAGCAAAGAGGCTGATGGAGGGGGGGGGGCGTTTGTCTCTGAGCTCACTGCAGCTTTTACCCTCCGTTGTTATACCAAACCCACGTTGGAACAGAAATTCCCCTCTGCAGTGCATGCTGCTGTCACTTTCTTTGATCAATGGGTTTTATAGTACCTTCTACATAAATTTAAGGCCGTTCAGGGGTGACTTTGCAGTCAGTACAGCGTTGCCCTGGGGTATTTGAATGTGGTTTTGAGCTGCACTTTTATTGTTCCAACATGGGTTTGGTAAAACGATGGAGGGAAAAGCCAATGCAGACTCAGCCTTAGTGAATTTCTTCACTTCCAGCCAGGAACTCTTGTGCCTTAGCTTCATGCATCTAATGACTGCTGTTTCTGCAGGAAATATCCTGCCAGGTCAGGCAACTGGTGAAAGGCATACACTGGGACGCTTGAAGATTAGTGTGGGTGGGGCTTGGTTGGACATGCACGACCTGTCTGATTTGGAGAGTTTTTGAAAGGAAAGCAGGGTTTTGTTGTTGTTCAGTCGCACAGTCGAGTCCGACTCTTTGCGACCCCATGGACCAGCTCCCTTCAGGCCTTCCGGTCTTCCGCCATCCTCTGAAGTTTGCTCAACTTCATGTTCGTTGCATCGATGACACTGTCTAACCATCTCATCCTTTGCCGTCCCCGTCTTCTTTGACCTTCAATCTTTCCCAGCATCAGGGTCTTCTCCAGTGAGTGCTCCCTTCTCATTTGGTGGCCAAAGTATTTTAGCTTCAGTTTCATTATCTGGCCTTCCAGGGAACCAAAACACCTGGTTGAAGAGGAACGAATGGGGACCCTCGGGGAATCTCTTGGTGTTCCATTTCATGAGCAGATAAGGTGCAGGGATGACGTTGTAACCTGTCAGTAACACCCCAGAGAAGAGACAGTATACATAAACATAGAGGGAAGATCACTATCCCAAATACTGTGATTTTGTTACAGGTGAGTGCAGCATACCTAATATCCGGATAGTCCTGAGACAATTTTTTAAGGCAGTCTTTGATGTTTCGTTTTTTCTTCTCGCCAATTATGTCTGCAATGTGTAGAATGGCAGGGAAGAGCCAATCAGAACTGGAACCCTAGAGACAGGTTGGAAGGCAAATTTTAAAAAACTGAACATTGCAAAGCTGCTTTATACTGAATCAGACCCCTGGTCTATCAAAGTCAGTACTGCCTTTTCAGATTGGCAGTGACCCTCCAATGTCTTAGGCTGAGGTCTTTCACAGCACCTACTGCCAAATCCTTTAAGTGGAGACACCAGGGATTGAACCTGGGACCTTCTGCATGCCAAGGAGATGCTGTACAACTGAGCCAGAGCCCCTGGATTAATTAAGATAGATTGTACTAACCTAAAAAATCCAGCTATGTAATTTCTTTAAAAATGTATTATAACTGTACATAATGTACAGGGGGAACCTGGCAGCTCTGTTTTCTTAAGAACATAAGAGAAGCCTATGTTGGATCAGGCCAATGGCCCATCCAGTCCAACACTCTGTCACACAGTGGCCAAAAACACCAGGTGCCATCAGGAGATCCACCAGTGGGGCCAGAACACCAGAAGCCCCCACACACTGTCCCCCCACTCAGCACCAAGAATACAGTGCATCACCTGCCCCAGACTGAGAGTTCCTATCTATGCCTTGTGGCTAATAGCCACTGATGGACCTCTGCTCCATATGCTTATCTAATTCCCTCTTGAAGCCATCCATGCTTGTAGCCACCACCACCTCCTGTGGCAGTGAATTCCATGTGTTAATCACTCTTTGGCCGAAGAAGTATTTCCTTTTATCTGTTCTAACTCGACTGCTTAGCAATTTCATTGAATACCCACGAGTTCTTGTATTCATGCAGCTGATGAAGCGAGCTTTTACTCATAAAAGCTCATGGTGTAATAAAGTTTGGTAGTCTTTAAAGTGCCAGTGGACTTCTGTTTAATTTGATTAAGCCACAATTTTGCGTTAAGTCTGAACTGAACTTATTATATCTTCCTTAAGAATTCTGGCATTGTAAATTCATGGCCTCTTTTCTCAAAAGAAAGTCATCCCTCCATGGATGTCTTTCTTATCAGTGGCCATGATCCAGTAAAAAAACAACCTCTTGTAATTCTGATGCATGTCAAGGGGGGAAAGTTATCTTGTTTGCTCAAATTAATCAGGATCAGGGACTCCCTGTCAGAACTGCAATACAATATAGACTTTCGGACATGAGCATGGCCCAGAACTACAGGGAAACTGGCTGTCCCATTCAATTTTCAAGGCAACCTTCACCCTGGAAGTATAATTGTACACTTCCTAACTGTAAGTGTGGTTGAGCAGTGGAACAGACTGCCTCGGGAGGTGGTGGATGCTCCTTCGCTGGACATTTTCAAGTGGAGGCTGGACGACCATCTTTCGGGTATGTTGTAGGGCTATCTTTCGGCTATGCTCCTGCAGAGTGCAGGGGGTTGGACTAGATGACCCGCAAGGTCCCTTCCAACTCTAACATTCTATGATTCTATGAATACATGGGAACATATATTATACTGGTTCAACAGCTAGAATGCAATGGGTGGGGCATTTTCATCCAGAGAAAAAGCATAGAGCTGGAAAAAAATTCTATATGAGGGTAGTCTAAAGACTGGTTCACAGCAAAAGGAAACTGGGCCACCAAAGAACATGGTGGCTAGACAGCATAAAGGTTGACACCAGCCTGAGCATGGAACCACTCAAAGAAGACCGGAAAACATGGAGAGACCTGGCCCATAGAATTGCCAAGAGTTAGACACGACCAGGGGTCATTTGGGGCCGGAGCACGGCGGAGCACCGCTCCGGCAGCCCAGGAGTAAGAACAAATGGTGGTGGCGGCAAGCCCCACCCCCAGCTCCCCACCTCCTAGCTCCTTCTCTCTAGAGTTGCACCGCAGCAGCAGCATGATCTTTCCACTGTATTCTATGGCCCCATAGAATATAATGGAAAGATCGAGCTGCCACTGTGGCGCAATTCTAGAGAGAAGGAGCTTGGGGGTGGGGAGCTGGGGGCGGGGCTTCACTTCCCCCCCCAGCCCACCTGGGGAAGGGAAGGGGAGGCTTTTGAAGATGCCTCCCCCCTTTTTGCTTCCCTTTCTGACATCACTTCCAGTGATCACTTCCAGTGATGTCAGGGTGCGTGGCATATGCTAATGAGTTATCATGCTAATAGCTAATAGCTAATGGCTATATGCTAATGAGCTCCTGCAGGTCTTTTTCTATGAAATGACCCCTGGACACGACTGAATGGCAAACAACAACAACAGTCTAAAGAGTTTAATTATTTTCAGTTTAGAAAAAATGACTAAGTGGGGAAATCACACAGATTTATAAAATTAGTCATGATGTGGAGAAAGTCTATGATAGTGTATAAATTTAGGGCCCCCCAGTGAAGCTGAGCAGCAGTAAATTCAGGGGAAACAAAAGAAGGTAATTCTTCACATAGTGCATACTCAACCCGTGGAGGTCCTTTCCACAGGATGTACAGATGGAACTAGACAGATTTATGGGCTATACCATGATGACGATAATGAAGTAAATACATAAAATGATGGCTGGATTGAACTTCCATGTTTGGAGGCAGTACACCACCGAATACCAGTTGCTGGGGGGGAGCTTTGGCCTCCATGCCCCATTTTTAGGCATCCTGAGGCATCTAGATGGGAAAGGTGGGTGTATTAGACCGCTGGATTTGATCTAGCATGCCTGTCCTTATATTAAATCTCCCTCCAGCAGGGTGCATCTTTAGTATCTAAGCCAGAAGGTCAGAAGAAAATAAAAGCTTTCCGGCAACAGAATCCCCACTGAAGTGGGCACGGCAGTTTACTACTGAGCTTAATATGGGAAGTAAATGTCTGCTTATTTCCTAAGTGCAGCTTATTGACCTTTGCCTTAGGGAGATTTGACTCATGGTACAAGCACTTCTAGTACAAATTTCAACGGACATTTTAGAACGGGTCCAATAGGGGCCCGCATCGCGATATGAAGAAGAAGGAGAGATTGGATCTATACCCTGCCCTTCACTCCCCAAAGGTGTCTCAGAGCGGCTTACAAACTCCTTTCCCTTCCCCTCCCCACAACAGACACCCTGTGAGGTAAAAGAAGAAGAAGAAGAGATTGGATTTATAACCTGCCCTTCACTACCCAAAGGTGTCTCAGAGCGGCTTACAAACTCCTTTCCCTTCCCCTCCCCACAACAGACACCCTGTGAGGTGGGTGGGGCTGAGAGAGCTCTTGACAGAAACTGCTCTTTTTCAAGGACAGCTGTGCCAGAGTGAAGTATAATGGCTGGTGAAGTATAACTCTGGAGACCGGCTAGATTTGAATCCAGTAGCACTGTAGAGACCAACAAAATTTTTGTGATACGAGCGTTTGAGAGTCAAAGCTCCCTTTGTCAGATAAACCATAACTAGGAAGGTAAAAGGTAAAGGTAAAGGTCTCCCTTGCTCGAAAGCCAGTCGAATCCGACTCTAGGGTTGCGGTGCTCATCTCCGTTTCAAAGCCGAAGAGCCAGCGCTGTCTGAAGACGTTTCCGTGGTCATGTGGCCGGCATGACTAAACCCCAAGGCGCACGGAACGCTGTTACCTTCCCACCGAAGTGGTACCTATTTATCTACTTGCAATTTCTTGCTTCCGAACTGCTAGGTTGGCAGGAGCTGGAACTGGAGACGGGAGCTCACTCCGTCATGCGGCACACTCGGGTCTTGAACTGCTGAACTACCAACCTTCCACAGCCTGCAGATAAACCATAACTAGGAAACCTGAGTTCAAATCCTCATTCTGCCATTAAATATCACTTTTGAGACACCAGTCTCATTCCTTTAGCCTAAGGCTGCAGTCACTTGCGCCAGCTGGAACGGAGGGGAAGTGAGGTCATTAAGGAAGTGAGGCTATTTCCTGTGCAGGAATTTGACACGCAGCTGCAAGATCACACATCCCTTTGAAGCTGCGGGCTCAGCCCATCACTGTGTGATCAGATGCCTCGCTCTCCGGTCTGTGGCTTCCTCCCAGCATCTGATCGTGCTGGGGAGGACCTGCGCGGTGGCTGGGGGGATCTGTCTGATCCCGCCGCCACGCTGCGCCTATTTCCCCCAGTGTGACCGGGGCCACACTGGACCCTGTGATTGCGTAACAGGGGATTTTGGAGAGGAAACTACACCAGCAGAGGAGTAGATCTCACTGGCACATCTGGGAAGCGTAGTGCTCCCGTGGCTCAACCGAGGCTTCCCGCCGAAGACATGCGGCAAATAACTAGTACCTCGGAGGTACTAGTTTCCGGAAACCGTGGGGCAAGGGCGGGCGCCTGATCGCGTTTCCGGTGGAATCCCGTGGCATCCGGCACCCGCCCATGTCCCGTCGCAAAGAAGGGGATTTTTTAAAAAAAGTCTCCACAGGATGCGCACAAGCACCCAACGGTGCAAGCGCATACTTCGGGTTTTTTTAAAAAACCCGTTTGCCATGGCAGCGCCGCTTCTTTGCTGCGCCGTCTGATTGGCACCTCCCCAGGCTCCCCACCACCACCACCGGACGTCGGCGGGATGTGTGATCCCGTGGCCGCGCGGTAGTTTGCTCCGGGGCAAACAGCCACGCCTCCCCCCCGCGATATCCGGCCCGTGTGACTGGGGCCAGAGATGGATTCCCCCCAGTGTCTTTTAACTCCGCTTCCATGGCAGAGCAGTATGGGTTGCCGACGACCGCAGGACGCTTCCCAGATGTGGCTGTCTGATCACGCCCTTTAGATCCGTCAAGCATTCGCACCTATGTCGGATTTAAAGGCGTGTGTGATCGCAGCCTAAGTTACCTCACAGAGGATAATATAGAGGAGAGGAGACCAATGTAGGCCTCCCTGAGTTCCTTGGGGGAAGGGCAGCATTTTTTTTTTTAAAGTGAGAGATAGACAAGCTTAATGAGCAGAGATCCTGGAACTGTTTCCTCTGCTGCATTTCTGCTGTTGAAACAGCACTGAACAGTTTCACATCATCCTATGTCTACACCCGTGACACAAACAGCAACAATTACCCACCAGATGTTTCATGCTATTATGTATAATCAAGGCGTCTTGTTTCATCAGCTTGCTGGCCTCTTCCCACTTTCTTCTCCCCGTTTTGCTCTTTGACTTCAGGGTTTGCGTGATATATTCTTTAACCATGTACTTGTGGATTTCGTGGAGAAAATCCTGCTAAAAAGACACAAGGGCAGAACGGGTTTTTAAATTGTTACTCAAGCTGCAGAAGGTTCGGAGAGCTTCTGGAGATTTTGGAGGGGGCTGGAGAACTGCTTGGAAACTATTGCATTTGGAGTGGCTTAGTGGTAGAGTGCCCTGACCTGGATGGCCCAGGCTGGTCTGATCTCATCAGATCTTGGAAGCTAAGCAGGGTTGGCCCTGGTTAGTACTTGGATGGGAGACCACGAAGGAAGTCCAGGGTCACTATGAAGAGGCAGGCCATGGCAAACCACCCCTGGAGGTCTCTTGCCTTGAAGACCCTATGGGAGTCGTCATAACTTGGCTGTTATTTGTTGGCACTTACCACCACCAGTGGTAGAGCACCTCCTTTACATGCAGAAGGTCCAGTGTTCAATCCCTGGCATCTCCACTTAAAAGGATCGGGTAGTAGGTCATGGAAGGACCCTGGAGAGCTGCTGCCAGACACAGTATAGTGACCTTGACAGACCAACACTATTACTGTTCAATAATAAAAGTGGGCCAGCAAGTTGCCACTGACTCATGACAACCCCATCCACGGGGTTTTCAAGGTAAGAGATGAGCAGAGGTGGTTTGCCATTGCCTTCCTCTGCATAGCAACCTGTTTTCCTTGGTGGTTTCCTGTCCAAAAGCTAACCATGGCCAATCCTGCTTTAGCTTCCAAGCTCTGACAAGGTCAGACTAGTCAGGGCTATTCAGGATGCTTATGCTGCCCGCAGTCAGCGTTATCTGTAGTTTAGTAAAACTGCTCTGTATCTTTAAGACTTGTGCACCTGGGGATTGGAGTCCACAGTTAGGGGTCCCAGAAGCTTCCCTCTGACTGGCTCATTAAGAGTAATTTCCTGAGCTCAGAGGTGCAAAGATAGGATTTTATTGTTCTTTTCTTTTCGTTTACTGGTTCTGCCTATCTACTATTATAATTAATATTACCTTGTGAATGGGCTCCTTCAGATGAATCAAGGGTTTAGAAAATTCTTCCGTGGCTGACACCGCTTTCTGGATTAACGCGTCAGGAGTTCCGCTATATAAAACCCACTGTTTGCTCAGGATTTTCTTAAGCATTGGCTGGGGGGGAAAAACCAGACACACAAATACACAATTGCATTACTAAAACACCCCGTTTGATAATAATCCATAAACTAGCAGATTCACAGCCCAATGTAAAAGCCTGACACCACCACATCACTGACACTGGTGCAGTGCCCCAGTCGGTATCCTGTGCCCGCTCTGCAGATGAGCAACCTATGACAGAAACACAAATGCAGAGAGCATAGCTACTGCACCAGAGTCCACTGCAACTGTACCACAGTTCAGCAGTCAAAGAGTAATATGTTGACGCTACCACCCATAACAGAGAGATGGAGATACCCAACTGGTGCATGCTGATGGGTCTACATCCCCCTAAAGTCAGGCTGCTGCCTGAGCATAAAACACACCAAGGGAGGGAACGAAGAGAACACAGCACTGTACACTAGAAGAAGCATGGTGGTATGACCAGGAGGAGCTCAAGAGTGAATGGACTCCAGGGAGTTCTGCAGATGTGGGTTTGAATCCCCACCTCAGCTTGTTCAGGACACTGAATCTGCTCAGGGCATTGTATCCCCCCTCCATTTATCTTCACAACAGCCCTATGAGATAATAGAAAAGAGCAAGAGTCCAGTAGCACCTTAAAGACTAACAAAATATGTGGCAGGGAAGGAGCTTTCATAAATCACTGCTCGCTTCTTCAGATACAGCTGGAATGGGAGTCCATCTGACCTATTTACTGGAAAGTGGAGTGATTTCAAATGCCAAATGACATTAGCAGGCAAATGATAATACTGGGTGAATGACAATAGCAGGCATGATTGGATTTAGGTGATATATGTAGAGGGTTAATAGGCGTGGGAAAAAAATCAACATTGATAATGAGACAGAAAACCTAGGTCTTGATTCAGTCTAGGTGGATTCATTGTCTTGAGCTTCATTATCAGTTGCAGTTCAGCAGTCTATCATTCTAATCTCCCTTTGAAATTCCTTTGTAAGAGAATTGCTATCTATGAGATAAGTTAAGCTTAGTGAGCAAGACGAACCCAGGTCTCGACAGTAGAGTTGCCAGCCCCGGTCGGCAACCTCTGGGAGAAATGGGGGCGGGGGAGACTGATGTACTGGTGTTGTGATGGTTTTGCGATGGTGTTGCAATGGTAGCATCATTAGATGCTAAGGAATTTACAAAAACTCATAAGAACATAACAGAAGCCATATTGGATCAGGCCAATGGCCCATCCAGTCCAACACTCTGTGTCACACAGTGGCCAAACCCCAGGTGCCATCAGGAGGTCCACTAGTGGGGCCAGAACTCCAGAAGCCCTCCCGCTGTTGCGCCCCCAAGCGCCAAGAATACAGAGCATCACTGCTCCAGACAGACTGTTCCACCCTGTGGCTAATAGTCACTGCTGAAACATATGTTTACCACAGAGTTTTAGTAAATTTTACCACAGAGTTTGAGTAAATTCTAGAGCACCCACAATGTCATTTCCATTTTTTACTAGAAGAGGTGTCAGCACTCTGGTGTGATACAGGCACGTACTCCACACATGCCCCCCCCC